AGGGGATGGGTAACTTCAGGTGTTTGATTTAGAAGTGATATTCTTTGTGTTCCGTATTGTATATTTATTGTATTAAAGTCCCTTTTCATTAAAGTTTTATATGTTTTGTCTTGTTGCGGCAGATGGCAGAACCCACTTAGAGCAGGCAGGTTTTTGGGGCTTCAGGGGTGTCCCTCTCCCCCTGTCCTCTAACAGAATTGGGGTGCCCTATAACACTTTTATTTTCTATGTCTCCTTACAAAAACATGTAGTGTTATTTATGAGATGGCTTAGAATGACAAAATTGGTTTTCTAACTGGGATTTGGACTTCTAGATTTGTAATCATGATTTCTAGATTTGTAATCAGGTTATACTAAATAACCTTCTTCCAATTCCCCATAGTAAAAGAGCTGAATTTAAGCAACAACTTACATTTTAAGTTATAGGTGATATTTTTGAACCACTTATAAGGCAAGATTTGTCAACAAAGTTACCATTTTGGGCCTGATAATCCTTTTATGCCTGGGCTCTTCTGTGATTATAGAACATGTAGCAGCTTCCCTGGCCACTGCACTCCAGATTCCAGTAACAACTTTCATTCCCAGCTGCTCCAAGCAAAAATATCTCCACATATGGTCAAACATACAATGAGGGAACAAAATTGCCTCCAGTTGAGAACAATTTTAAGGTAAATCACCTACCTCTAGGATTCACTTGGGGTCTTTTTCTAGACTTTTCCTTTCTTTTGGCTAGTTTACCCTATCCCTAATCTAAGCTATGAAATAACAAATTAATTATGAATTAGCTGAGCACTAGTACTTGGTCCTCCCCTACTTTCCAGTTGTAATAAAACTCCCCCAGCCTTCTTTTCTTAATTCCATCAAAGGGTTGTATGCGCCTCACTATATTTCTCATCATGTCTTCTCACCAGACTTTCAGATGGAGCAAATCTGATCAAGAAGGAAAAGCAGAATCATCCTTATGTCTAGTTGATTTGATTAAAAACTGGTAGTAAAATTGTAACAGGGAATGGGGAAGTTCCAGGTTCCCTGACCTACCCAGAAGGAGGGTGGAGTTGAGCAGAGAAAAAAAAAGAAAGGGAAGGAATCTGAAGAGAAAGAAGGAAGGAGGATGGAGAGCCAGAAGGAGACCTGAGGAAGCCACATGGAGCAGCAGGCATGTGATAAAGAAACTGTGCTTGTTTCTTGACCTTGGACTGGTTAAGGCAGATGTGGGTGAGAGACCTGTTGGGAGGTGACTATGGCAGTGTTTATATTGATTTTGCTCTTTTCCTACCAGATTTGTCTGGCCATTTCTGACCCTTTTTGATGGGTCTCGGCCAGAAGGTGCTTTAGTCTTGTGGCAGGCTTTCAGGCCTTGCTTTGGGCCAATCCCTTTTGGGTTGACTTTTGCCCACGAGGGGATGGGTAACTTCAGGTGTTTGATTTAGACGTTATGTTTTTTGTGTTCTGTATTGTATATTCACTGTATTAAAGTTCCTTTTCAATTAAGTTTTATATGTTTTGTCTTAATGTGGTGGATGGCAGAACCCACTTAGAGCAGGCAGGTTTGGGGTTCAGTCGTGACCCTCTCTCCCTGCCCTGTAACAAAATCAGGTGCAATTTCAAGAAGTGATGCAGAAGAACAAAGCTGAATCAACAATAAGAGGCCTCCTAGCTTTATGCTCTTTCAACATTATTAGCCTCTTACTGCATCAAGTGGAAAACATCACTGTTGGAACATGTTTGGGAAATTATTCTTCTCTTTTGTTCATATGCTTCTATACCTAGCAGGTTGATTCGGTAATAAATATGTGAAAACTCTGGGTAAAGGGATAGGGTGGGAGGTAGGGAGAGAGAGAGGAAGGAAAAAGGGTTTTCTTTTTGGATTCAGAGTAGTCCTTAGCCTTTCAATGGTCTGACCAGCAGAATTCGCGTGAATGAAGCAGTAAGGCTCAGAGGGTCTTCTTTCCAGTTTCTCTGTCTTGCCTCTCTCAGCCACTGCAGTGCGCCTGAGAAGGAAGAGGGAGTCAGTATTCTGTGTCTCCCTCCCCAAGGAATTCAGATCAGGGAGAGCCCCACAGTGGCAGATTAGATGTCTGCTGACTAAATCTGCAAGGAAGCTAGCTTTCTTTTCATTTCTCACATCCTCTTCCCTTACCTCGTAGCTATTCTCTCTCTAAATTTCCTTTGTAACTGATTTTTTAACAGATAATCCTTCGGTGAACACACAGAGTGAACACTGTTGCCCATATTTCTCAGCAAACTGGCCCCCAAAGATGCTTCTTGGGAAAGTTCTGTGTGATCCAATAAGTGAGGGCACTATCTTGGGCACTGCCCACAACAGTAAAGATTTCGAGAAGTTATTCAGTTGCTTGTTCTTAAATCAGCACTTCTCAGATTAAGTGATTATAGACCTTTCTCTCCCCCCTTCTCCACCCACATCATTGAACAAACCAGCATTGGTGTCCCAAGGAACACAGTTTGTAAAATGTCTTATCTATCAACAACCTACATCTTACATCAATTGATCCCAAAAGCCATTAGTGTGTTTATTCATTTATTATAAAAAAAATTGAGTACTCACTATGCTAGGTATTAGGGTTACAAAGATTACTTTTCCAGCAGCCCCCAGGCTGCTAGGGACTTATGAGTAAGTGTCAATAGGTTAACTGAGATCCGAGCCAGGTGTTGGGGAAATGATGGATCCCAGGCGTCTTAATGGTGACACGAGAGAGTTCTGAGGATCTTAATACCTCACTAAGCCTAGCATCAAGACTGGAGCCCTCATTTACAGAATCAGGAGCTGGCTAGGAAGGCAGAATCCCAGGCCCCACCTTAGAACTACCAAGTCAGAACCTGCCCTCTACTAAGATCCCCTGGCAATTTTCACATACAGTATTGTTTGAGATTATTTTCCTTAAGTGTACATTGATTCATTCATCCAAGATAGAACCCAAATGTATGCTGTGTGGTATTGAATCAGAGGACAAATTAGGGATGGCAGCTTCAGGGGTGGTGCAGGCAGGGACTTTAGGAGAGTTAAGGTAGGCTCTAGAGAATAGGGCAACACATTCCAAAAGATTAATCAAACTGCGGAGTTCCTGTTGTGGCTTCAAAGTTCCTGCTGTGGCTTCATGAAATACTAAATCCATGGTGGCCTCATGGCTGGGACTCAGAGCTGCCACGGCAGCCTAGGATCTGTGCCTGGCTGGGAAACTAGGCCTGAACACCTGAAATTATGGACTAGGGTAACAGGACCTTCTGAAATAAGGATGATACCAAAAAAAGTATGCTAAGAGAAGGTCTGGGACTCAGAGACTTGGTTCTGGGCACAGAGACATTTAGGCAGGGAGTGAGACCACAGAGAACTAACCAATTGCAAAGAGACTGGTGGAGCTTTAGAATAATTAGGGAAAGAAGATACATATTCCCTGAGACATGACTATATTTTGGCTTCCTTGTCCTTTTCTGGCCTGGTTCCACCGACCTGGGAGTCTCACTTTACTCTGTTCCTTTTCTCCTTAATAATTTTTTTCTGAGCAAATCTGCCTCTTCTCGCTTGCTTGCCTGAGCATCAGCGGAGTTCCTGTTGAGACTTCGTCAGACACTGACCCGTGTTGGTCTAGTGGCTGGGGCTCAGCTGTGCCACTGCAGGCACCCCATGCCTCGTAGGAGACTAAGCCTGAAAACCTGAAATTACGGTATCAGTATCTTGGCCAAATATTAATTTGGGCCAGGTGAGATTGGAAGAATAGACAAGGATGACTGGTAGAGGCAAGAGAAGTCTCTTCTCTTCCCTCCCCCACACTTAGGAAAGTCAGAGTCATTAGCTAAGACTGCAGGTCTGTCATCAAGGAGCCAGGGCAGGAAATGAGGTCATGCCTGTGGTTCTTCCTGCTTACAGGTCTGACACAACTGAACAGGCACAATCGGTATGCCTGGGAAAAAGGAAGTGAGCAGAGTCCCGAAGGGAAAGGATCCTTCCATTCCCCTTCCCATCTCTGCTCTTGACTAAACAAGTGACCAGAGACTGGGTCACAGAGCCCAGAGCCCTCTGCAGAACTTTTAGCTTCTTCTCAATCTTCAATACTAATCAAGGGAGGAAGGACAGGCAGGGTTCAGGGAAGCTCCACCCACCCAGAAACAAAGAGGTCTGGGTGAGTGCCCCTAGCGGTCTAGTTTGTAATCGCTTCCCCTCCCAGCAGGTCAGCCTTTGGGCCTGCCCCTCCTAGCCTCCCATGAACTCTGGAGCTAGAGCTGGACAGCAAGCCAGAGCTGGACAGCAGGTTAGCCAGGCCTCGGGTTGGGGGTGTTGGTGAGCACCAGCAGGAGGTGCTTCCCACAGACTTGCTTTGTGGAGGGTGCCCATCCTGGGTGGGGGCAACTAAAGAGAAGGAAACCAAAACCCACAGCATCATTAAACCACAAGGAAGGGCAGGAGATTAGGCCACCCCCAAATATGCTGCCCTGGTGTATTGATTATTTTGAGCAGTTACTTGAAAAATAGCAAATGCAGGGAGAACTTTCTCTGGATTCCTTTTACTTTTTTTTTTTTTTTTTT